TCTGTGGACAATTTCATGCGGCTAGGACTTTGGTATTTTATTTTTGCTCGTCTTTTTTATTCATAACTGGACACTGAATACGTTAGTGTTAATTAAGACTTAACAGAGTACCAAAACTCCCAAACAAGAAGCTTCCACGTAACCTCACTGGATTTTGTATTAGTAACTAAAAAGGGAAAAAAAAATCGAGTAATCAGAAAAGTAAAAGTGAATTCAGAAGAAAATATATACTTACTCCATCCCATAATTATTGTCCACTTTGCTAAAAAAATTTTGTCCCAAAATTATTATCCGACTTTTTATGGATCAAGTTACACATTTGTCCTTAGTAAAAAACATTATCCGCAAAATCTTAGTGGTTAAACAATTACTTATGTAGGGGTATATCCGGTTGTTTAAGGTAAAATATAGTTAAATTTGACTAAAAATAAAATCTTTTATTTTAGTAAAACTGGACAATAATTATGGGACGGAGGGAGTATATATATATAGTTGCATTCAAAACAATAATATAATCATTGATACGGTTTTGGTTCCCTTCGAATTTCAAAGGGTCAGATTCTCAAATAAGGTAACAAATTGAAAGCCAAAAGGCACACTTATGCTAAAAGAAATGCATTCCAGAAAAGGACAAAAGCTCAAAAAAAAAAAAAGAAAAAAAAAAACCTCATTGGTTCACTTCAGAATTTGAAGGCATATTCGAAGAATGCTATAATGCTCCAAAATGAAATGATCTTTTTCTTTTTATTAAAAAAAAATAGAAATTCTAGAATATTTTGAAATGATTGATGAACACCGAAAAGGGCAAGTTGAAAGTGAATCAGCATCCATTGTTTGCTTAGTTTTTTTTTTATGGTTTTTTTAATTAATAAAATAATAACAGTCTCATCTAAACATATATTTTTATATTTTTAATACACCTTTTTATATTTTTAATACAAAAAATACCTAAAAACACGCACTAAAAAAACGAAACAAGCATATCATCAATCCACAGTTTCCACAACAATCAACATGAGATGATCCATCCTGGGACAACTCTCTCTCTAAAGAGACGTTAGAGGCTGCTTCCACATATTTGATTTGGCTAAAGTCTAACCATTTGAGTCCAACTTGTCACGCATTTTTACTTTGACAAGGATATGATTCGTACGTGACTGAGCTTGAAGCACCCATCAATCCATCCTATCAAAAATTCTATATTTACATTTTTTACCTATATCACCCGCGTCGTATAAAATTATAAAAATCCATTGTTTAACAAATTATTCATTCAAAATTCTCCTTGTAATTGTTAGACATATCATTCGGATTATAACATGTTTAATCAATGGATCACATCATTATTTAAGCGTTTGTTTTTCTGTTAGGGTTAAACTTTTTTATTGAATGTATGATTTTGGGACTTGCACTAAGACTGAACTGAACATTAGTTTACTCAATCAACACAATCAAGTTTGTAATATATCTTGTATTTATCGGTGTAGCTTTTTTAAAAAAATTTAATTCTCTCTGAATGGATTTCTATGTATTGAATAAAATTTTATTGTCAAAATAAAAGAATAACTTACGACATTTGTGATTCTAAAATTTATAATCCATTATGTTTCTCCTTTTTATATAGTGTTCATCGTTAACAATAATAACAAGTTCTTTGATTAAGTTAACATCAGTAACATATTATTAATAATTAGTCGTAATCATTAGTTAACTTTAAATCAAATCTCTCTCTTAATTTTTAAATACAAATAACTTTGTCGAAATTACATCAGTATGGGTATCCTGCAAATGAGTGATGGTTTGTGACTTTTTTTAAAAAGGATTATGCAACTTGATGATGTGTTCAGTGGAATAAATTATTATCACAAATGCAGATTAGACGATAGCACACATTATTGGAGTATAACGTACTCTTATTATCCATGGATTATATGTAAAACTTTATCCTGTCGCCATCTGAATCAAATCACACTAAAACGACGTATAACAACTACATTTTTATTTTTTTTTTACAATGAAGGAGGCCAAAGCCTAAAATGTTAAACTATCATAACAGAAGAAATTCACTGTCGACATCCAGTAAATGCACCACAGTTTCACAACGTTATTCCTACACAAAGACTTTTTGATGGCTCGACTAAACTTAATCGAGTCAACCCCTTGAACTTTCCGAACAATATTACTCATGAAAATCTAAATAGATAAAGTAGAGGCGAACCTTAAAGGCTACTAAACCCAATAAAACTATATTTAACCCAACAAAACATCAAGCGATTGTGATAATAGATAGTCCAATTCATACATCATGGGATTAAGACAGACCAAATGAGTTTGATCCTGGGGATGATTTAATGATCGATGCAAACAATGTTAGTCGATGATGGAGTCCTTCTCCAGAGGAACCGTTAGTTAGGTGGCGAAGTGAAGGTGGACTAAATGATAAAAATGATACCATAAATGAAGCAATGGCGTTGGGGTCCACGAGTGGGTCCCAAGTAGCCTTTATAACAACCACATTTTTGTTTACTACTACCAACAATATATAATCTCTGTATTGTTCTTCTTTCTTTTTTTTATTCAAAAAAAAAAAAAAAACTCTCTATCATGTTACACATTTTGTAAGAATTCCTTTATCACAACATAACCTTTTTTTATACGGTTAACACTTTGTTTGTTAATTGAAAATAATGATCTTATAGTAATTTACAGTACAGATAAGTACAACAATAAGCTTGTTACAGTGATAGCATTACTTTATATTTTATTGTTAATCAACACGTGTTAAAAGTGAAAAATACCGTTTGTGAAGTTTTATTTTAATTAAGGTTGCTTCCATCTCAATGTTTGTCATAAGATTAATATTTTGAACTACTAGTTTTTTAAAACTTTTTTTAAAGAAAATTTGAACTACTGGTTGGTGTCAACAAAGGAGAAATTAGTGTGTGTGCACTGAAGACTAATTTGGGATAAAAGATTTGTTGTCTAGGGATTGATAAGTTATGCTCAAGTACTTTATATAAAGAACTAATTTTACGACTTCATATATAGTTTTTCTTGAAAATGGTTTCATTTGTATGTTTATTTTGTCTTTTAAGAATGTATTTTTAGGTATTTTTTGTATTAGAAATATAAAAAAAAATGTATTGGAAAATGTAAAAAAGTATATTTAGATGAGACAATTATTATTATAATATTATTCTTGAAAAAAGGAAATAAACAGAAATGATTTATCCCAAGTTAGTTACGTGGTTTTAATATAACTTTGTTGTAGTTGCCAATTATTGTAAGAGTAATGATTCATAAGAGGGTAACAGGAAAGGAATCACATCCATTTATTTTAATACTCTCTCCAGTTCTTATTATAAGTTATTCTGATTTGTTCTAAATCTTACTTTGTACATTTTTTCAAATGAAGAAAAAAGTAAAATTACATTTTCACATTCATTGTGTTCTCTTATATATTTGAAAATATTTTTAAGATTTTTTTTTTCAATTGAAAAAATATACTAAGTGAGATATAGGACAAATGAAAATGTCTTATAATAAGGAACAGAAGGAGTACTTGCTATTTGAGTTTATGTATTTAAGGTTAGAGCACAATTTTGATGATTGATACATCATTTCAAGAGGTGTATATAACATATAGGAGAACTGAAAATTTCATTACCTTTTGTGAGAATTGATCTTGAATCTATAGTACTTAATTAAAGTCATTTCATTTTCCCGCCAAAAGTCATTTCAAGTACAAAATCATTTTTGACATGTGTCAATCTAACTATTCATAAAAAAAAGATGGAATAAATTAATTAATAAATCTCCTTAATTATAGCTCCATACTAATCCCTTAATTATAGCTATATATTAATCTCTTAAACCAGGAAACTTGAGTTGATAAAATCAAATGTAAAATTTTTTTCTTAAATCACGTGAAACATTACTGCGAGTAACGCCTCCCCAATCTCCGTAAATACAAAATGGTTAAATGAAAATTAACTCCAGCATGTAATTAGCTTAATCAAATATATAATACATTAATCAAGTATTTTTGCTCAATGTAATATAATTAGTTCAATAAAAATGAAAGTGATCCCCTTAATATTTTTGCCCCAGCAGGTAATTGGTTTAATCAAGAAGGTATCAATCCTTAAAATTTGACTCTGTTTGTTTGATTTTTTTGATGGTTTTTTAGTTTATTTTATTAATAACTGTCCCATCCCAGCATACCTTTTTACATTTTCAACACACCTTTTTACATTCCCAATACAAAAAACACCTAAAAACACACACTAAAAAAACGAAACAAACAATAAAATTTAGCCACGGGAAAACGAAGGAAATTTCATCATGCTATCACGGGAGATCAATACCAGGAGAGCAAAAGATGATCAGCTCTCTATTATGGCAATCAGGAGACTGTATCTAAGGATTCTACCACTTATTTGTTATTTCAAAAGATATTATCTCAATACTATTTTAATTTTTTATTAGCCAACAACTATGACTTGTGGGTAAAAACAAAAGATTTTTTTACACGATTAGAATTGTTATTTACTTGCACGTATAAAATTCCTTGTTATCATGATATGTGTTATATTATTACTCTAAAATATATTTTTTCACTTATATTTTTTTATTTAAAAATTTTAAGATACAAGTGCCTCGGGGCATCGGCCCGAGGCAAGCATTTAGTTTTTGTGAGATTCAATAATTGTACTAAAAATTGGAAAGACGGGTGTAGGGATAAATTATGAAAAACTAAATTGAATTATTGAACCCGTTGCCCGTTTCAATTCAGACATGCATAAAAATTCTTTATAATCTTGACTCTTGAGAATATCTAGAACATTCAATTGTTTCCGGGTGAATTTATTGAAAACAAAATCAAAAAATATTAACACTAAATTACTAGTAACAAATTTAAGCAAAATGGTCAAATAAAATGCAACAAAATAAATGTAAAATTATTTGGTAGGCTGCTATGGATTCCATTGAGATAAGTACTACAAGCGGCAGATGCGGATCCGAATATTTCTCTTTTGTAAATTATAAAAAGGGCCTTAAAGGCAGCTGGACCCGCGGATTTTCAGAACACCAACCACCTTACTTACTCTCAATACATTTTCATTTCTCTGAATCCGAGAGAGAGAGAGAGAGAAGGGCAGAGCCGTGGCTAAATTCCCAATCCTAACCCCTACCGAAACCCTAGTAATGGCCGTCCCCAGCTGCACCGCTTCTCTCCGCTCATTCGAGTGCCGTACGGATCCGGACTTCTCCGGCCGCTTTCCTCGCCCGGAGATCCCCACCTCCGGCGCATCTCGGTTCTCCTGCAAGGCTGGCGGCGGCTCGGCGAGTCGTGGTTTGTCGGTTCACGGCCTGTCGTCTTCTCTGATCTATCGGTTCCCGCCCAACTTCGTCAGGCAGCTCAGCACGAAGGCTCGCCGGAACTGCAGCAACATTGGTGTCGCACAAATTGTTGCGGCGTCGTGGTCAAACAAGGAGCTCGACAATACCCCCTCCCCCCCGGCGGTCAAGGCCGTCGACGCTGCCGCGGCGGCCTCCTTTGTTGCCCCGGTGGCTGAGAATGTCACTGGCGTCGAGGAGGATGTGGCTGCTGTGGTGGATAGTGTTTTAGGAGAAAATGTACAGCCGGAGGATTTGACTGATGATGTCGGATACTCTTCATTTTTGACCAGTCGTGGCAGCATGGCCATTCATGCTGGTAAGGATGTTAACTAATCCTTTTCAATTTTCTTCTTGCATTTTCGCGCGTTGATGATTTTCATTCCTATTCTTTAAACTTCTGCAAGTGAATCCTGTTTTGCTTTTGTAGCTTCTCAATCGGGGATTCTGCTTAATTGTTATCGTAATTAGTTCCTGTATTTTGTCTCCTTATCCAGTTATTGTGGAACAGTGGAAATACTTCCCCTAATTGCTATTTTCTTTTGTGTGTGTGCCCAGGTGAAAGATTGGGTCGCGGTATTGCTTCGGATGCTATTACTACCCCTGTTTTCAACACATCTGCTTATTTCTTCAAGAAGACTCAAGAACTCATTGATTTCAAGGTATTTTAATTCAATCAATCTGCTAGTTGACTATCATACAAATATGTCAACTCTTTTTTGAAAAAGATTGTCTTATTTATGGATGACTTTTGGAGCTGTTTAGTTTATTTTTCACACTGCTTGTTCATTACCCTTCTTCTGTTATTAGGTTATTGAATGTTTTTTTTTCTTTTGCATTTTATATGTTGCAGGAAAAACGACATGTGAGCTATGAATACGGAAGATATGGAAACTATACTACTGAAGTATTGGAGCAGAAAATGAGGTAAAATTTTCCTTCCAAGATTGTGTCCTCAGGCTACATATTGAATAATCAGTATACTGAATAATCACTATATGTTAAAATCCTTCCAAATTGAACAGTGCACTGGAGGGAGCTGAGTCAACATTGTTTGTGGCATCTGGCATGTGTGCTAGTACATGCTTGATGTGGGCATTGGTTCCTGCTGGCGGGCACATTGTTACAACTACAGACTGCTACAGGAAAACTCGTATATTCATTGAGAAGATATTGATACCAAAAATGGGAGTAAAGGTATACTTATTTCAGAAACCTATCTATTTCCTCTTATTAGATTAGAAGTTCTTTCTTGTTAATCTAATATTTTTTACTATGGGAGACCTTTTTTTCCCCTCTGCTTTTCATTTTTCATGTCTCCCTCCCTCCTCCCCCTCTTTTTTTTGTTATATGGGATGTTAGGCCATTTGATCAAACTTTTATTCTTTTGATTTGTGGGAGTAATGATGATCTTCTTCTTTGAACTTTGTCAGGCCACTGTTATCGATCCTGCAGATGTTGGTGCTCTTGAGGCTGCATTGAGCAGGAATGATGTAAGAATTTGGAACACTGTTAACTCCTTGTCATTAAAAAAAAGACAGTGATTATAACAAAGTTTTTAACTTGAGCTCTATGTTTTAAGACTAGTTTCTGATTACGCAAAACAAAGTTGTCCTACTGAGATTATATCAGACCATCTTTTGCTTCGACATTCCAGTTGGTTATCTTAATAATGAACCATTTTCACCGATTTACTGCACTGATTTCTTGATTGCATGTTCTGGTTGTCATTAATGATAAAATATTTGCAGAGCCGCTATTTTGTTAATCTCACCAGCAGGTGAAAAGAATAGCTTTAAGATTGATTTTTTATATGTTTTTAATTTCATTTTAACCTTAGTGATGAAAGCCATATATTTAATAATGTCGTGTCAAGTTTATCCTCTCTCTTCCTTGTTACAATACCAAGTGTAACAAAGTAAGCCGCTGTAGTTTTAAACTTGACCTTATTCTCTTCAGGTGACGCTTTTCTTCACGGAGTCGCCAACAAACCCATTTTTGAGATGTGTTGACATTGAGCTGGTTTCAAAGCTTTGCCATGATAAGGGAGCTTTGGTGGTTGTCGATGGGACATTTGCCTCTCCTATCAACCAGCAGGCCCTTTCTCTTGGTGCTGATCTTGTTATACACTCTGCAACTAAATATCTTGCTGGACACAATGATGTATGCTCTAAATCCACCCTATTTATCTTTTAGGTTTCTGGTTCATCACGAGTACATTCAATCCAATGCTGAAACAGTGTTTTCTTGTCTTTGACAGGTCCTTGCTGGTTGCATCAGTGGTCCAACTAAGTTGGTTTCAGTAGTCCGTGATATGCATCATATTCTGGGTGGTACTCTCAATCCTGTAAGTATTAAGAATTTCAAATCTGTTTATTTGTAATTGTAGTTTGTGATGTATGAATAACCAACTTTGCTGTTGCTTGTCAGAATGCCGCTTATCTAATCATCCGAGGCATGAAGACACTGGAATGTCGTGTACAGCAACAGAATCGCACTGCGTCAAGGATGGCCGAAATTTTAGAGGCACATCCTAAGGTACTTACACCTCTGCATTATTTTTACTTTTTATTTTAAATTTTCTCGGCCTACCTGGTGTATGTTGCCCGTATAAATTGTCAGATGGAATGTGTTTTCTAGCCTATCGTAACCAATACACCTGGTTTTTCAGGTGAGTCGTGTGTATTATCCTGGGTTGGCAAGTCACCCTGAACATGAGCTGGCGAAGAAGCAAATGACTGGTTTTGGCGGTGTTGTCAGTTTTGAGGTTTGTTATCCCAAATTGTTGAAACTTTTGTTCTAATTTGTGTTCGGGGGACATGATTACTCTGATATTTATCTAAGGAGTGTATTTCATGTCTGTATTAGGTTGATGGAGACTTACATAGAACAATAAAGTTTGTTGATAATTTGAAAATCCCATATATTGCGCCATCTTTTGGAGGTGTTGAGAGTATTGTGGATCAACCAGCAATTATGTCTTACTGGTATGTGTTTTATCTATTTCTCTTGGCTTTCATTTTTTGTAAGATTGCTGGTTTTTCCTTCTACATACATTGTAGTGTAGCTACTATTTTGACCTAAATAGTCCATGGTGAAGCTGTATCAATTTTAATCCCAGGCTTTTTTATTCTTTTCACACACCCGAAAAAGAAAAATCAAAAAAAGAAGCCCCTTGTATTTGGTGTGAGATATGAATTACCCTGCAAACTCGCTCATTAATCCCGTTTCATCCACTGTCTTGTCACGTGTATGTATAGTCTTTGCATTTCCATAAAGAATTTTTGTCTAAGGTGGTTTTGTATGGTTTTGGAAATCAGGGACCTTAGCCAGGCAGACAGAGCCAAATATGGAATTCTGGACAACTTGGTGAGGTTCAGCTTTGGAGTTGAAAGCTTTGAAGATTTGAAGAGGGATATCCTTCAGGCTCTGGATACGATATAAAGAAGACATCTCCACCCACCCCAATTTTCACCACCCCATTTGTTTCCTTTTTGCGTTAATTCTCTTGTTGGGATGAGTTGTCACTCTAGTTGCTTTTGCTAAGTTCTTTTTGTTTCAGCTATTGGGATAATTGTTATTGAATGTTTCTGTTGGAAACAAACAAATTTGGTTTTGCCCTGGATAGAAAAGATTTTATGTTTTTATTTGTGAAAGCTTTTATTTTGTAGCGTTATTGCTCTTTGGTTTTGAAGTATGAAGTAATCCATATCTCATGAAGTGCCAAAGTAGGAGGATTCAATGCCAAAACATTTACATCACGTCATCCGAAGCATATTCTTGCCAATTCGAATCCATTCACATCGCATTATCCGAAGCTGCTGCTTTTACATTTTTTGGTACAAGCATCTTCTTCTCCAATTCCTAAACGATAAAACCAAATACGGTATATGAGATTTATAGTTTGAATTCAGTCTGGAACTGGAAGAGAGTACGTGTATGCTAGTCATAATAATAACTGGAGTATTTTATTTTACTTTTGATACCAATTTAATTTAAAATGAAAATTCAAATTAACATCAATAATTTCAGGGATAAAGAAATTAGATTTTGGGAGGGAGGATATCATTCTACATCGTCATAATTAATTTATTAGGTCAGTGTTGGAACGCCTCCATTTTCATATAACATCCGAAATTGAATGAATTCTCTCTTTCTAAAATATTAATAAATCATTTTAAATTGCGAGTAAAATAATGAAAAAAAGTTTTTCTAGATTATGGTAATCTCCACTCTCTCCCTTCATCATATATATATATATATATATGCAACCAAATATCAATAACCTTTTCTTTCCGTCTCTTGAAAACAATAATATACTGTACGTATTAGTAATTCAATCACCCATGATAAGTCCAAATATTATCTAGGTCACATCAAATGTCAAAAGTTTCCAATGGGGAATATCACGTTAAGAGTTTTGCAATAACTATCGTAATATAGCAGGCACAATACAACTTCAGTGCCGTCCGCCGAATGATTAAATAAATACAATAATTTTCTCTCAAATACATATTATGGTATCTTTTATCCAACCTAAGTATTTTTTTTCCCCTCTCTCACCGTTCAGGCTAATCTAAATATTTCCAAGTCTTTCTTAATAATTTCTTAATTTTTTTTTAATATTTTTTTTCCCATGTCAATGATCCATCATAACGTGTTATACTCTCAATAGATTCCCTTCCCAACTTGCAAAAGAGGTTCATCATCTTCACATTCCTCACTTTTTTTTTTTTGTTTATTCTCTTTTTAGCCTTTTACAAAATCCAAACTCGCCACTCCATTTTTGATCTGAATTAGTCCTATCCGAAATTCGTCGACCGTACTACTACATAACTGTCTCATTAGCACAACTAGAGCTTGGTTTTCATCGTCGTATAAATCGAAACTTTTGTCCGTCTGCGGTCCGTTACCCCTCTTTAAATTCCGTTCATAAAGATTCCGATTGTTCTTCATCTGGATCAGTAAACTGATATGAAATTCGGGAAGGAATTCAAGACCCATCTGGAGGAAACTCTTCCTGAATGGAGAGATAAGTATTTGTCCTACAAGCCTTTGAAGAAGCTCCTCAAAAATATTCCTTCCCCTGAAGCCACCGCCGGCGTTGCCAATCTCAACCCTCCTCCGGTTCAGCCTGACGGCGATGGAGCTCCCGCCTTGCCGGAACTGCAGGACTGGTTCGTCAAGATTCTTAATGAGGAGCTTGAAAAGTTCAATGATTTTTACGTGGATAAAGAGGAGGAGTTCATCATCCGCTTCCAGGTTCTTGCCGTCCACCATGATGCTTATTTTATTTCCCCCCTTCATCAATTCGTTACTTAATTCAATTGAATTGCCAAAAATTATTCTGTTCAAAAGTTTTACTTTTGCGGTTGCTCTGTACCTTGTTAATCTGCTCGAATCATAAATCTTATCTGCAGATGAATACTGAATTATCTCAAGTCAAGGTGTTGTTTTATTTTATTTCATATTGCGGTAATTTGGAATCCAGGTGCACCATTATAATTGCGGTCAACACTGTCCTTGGAATCTTTTACTTGTTGCCCATAATGAAAAGGGTTACTGAAATAGTAATAAAAAAATTCCCAAAAGTCATTTGACTTTACAAGAAGCTATTGCATATTTTGCATTGCAATCATAAGATAATCTGCTTTGACAATGATGGATAGCATGTTTTTGGTTGAACACGATTTCATGATAACAAAGATGTAATTGTTATGATGATAGGTCAATGCAAGATTTCTTTAGAGTAGAGACACAAGATATTAATGAGAAGAGAAAGAAACTAGCTCTGTGACTTGGACCAAAAACTGTACCTTGGATATTAGTTGATAAAGAATAGATTATGCTATTGAAGTGGGAAAGAAAAGTTCATAATTTTGGAGGTGGGTTCAAGAATTGGAGATGAGATGAGTACCTAATTGAATGATGCATATTCCTGGATAATCTGCTTTGTGGTTCTCCTTGTTTTTCTTTGTTGCGTAGGATTGTTTATGTGCGAAAATGATCATATCCATGATTATGTCTTAGGCAGAATTCACTATATGCATGCCTCAATTGGTTAATGCAGGAATTGAAGGAAAGAATTGAGCGGGTTAAGAATAGAGAGGATTCTGACATCGAGTTCAGCGATGAGATGATGAACATTCGAAAGGACTTTGTTGCAATTCATGGTGAAATGGTTCTTCTAAAGAATTACAGCTCCCTAAATTTTGCAGGTATATTTGTGTTTTAAACCTCTTCTGTTTTTTTATCTTGTACTATGTGATGCAAGAGGTTATTTAGGTTTGTAACTAAAGGTATCATCATTTCCAAAGTAAATGTTTGAGATAATAGAAAGCACATCAACTGATTAATCATAAAAATCTTTCATCTTTTTATCCGGAGTTTTATATGAGGCAATACTCTTTGGTGCTAGGTCTCGTGAAGATTTTGAAGAAATATGATAAAAGAACCGGGGAATTATTGCGTTTGCGGTTTACACAGCTTGCTCTGCATGAGCCTTTCTTTACAACTGAGCCTCTTTCAAGATTAGTTCAAGAGTGTGAGGCAAATCTTGAACTTCTTTTCCCCCTCGAGGCAGAAGTTGTGGAATCTAATGCTGCTTTACAAAATAATGCTGGGGAAGCATCATCAAATATGGGTACAGAAACGAAAATGTCACTCGGGGAGGAAACTGTGGACATTTACCGAAGTACCCTTGCAGCCATGAGAACTATTCAGGGCCTGAAGAAGGCAAGTTCTACCATTAATCCATTGTCTTTTTCTGCTGTTTTTGCGAATCATGACAATGACAGTGGAGGTGATGTAACAGCAGAAAATTCTCCAGACTCCTTAGTTAACTCACAGAAGTCTGAGGAGATAGGTAATGAAGCAGCTGTTAACTCTCCCAAATAGCTTTCAACATTCTGGTTATACTTTTCTATCATGTTTAGAGGCTGAATGGCGACTTTAAAAGTTTTCACTGAGCGAGTTCTATTTTTCTCGGTTTTTGTTAGCTGAATGATTATCCAACCTTGTGAACTGTAATGCCAACTAGAACTAGGAAGGGTAGTTCTGTCGGCCGCAACATTGTATTTAGCTTTCAACTGGCCTGACATTGTTTTGTGAATAAAATTTTGTATCCTTACAAGGAACTTGTGATCCTATCATGTCATCTTAAAGTTTTACGCACCTCATTAACTGTCTTGCTCTTCTACGCGGGAATCGCAATGGTCCTGAGGAAGTTTGGACTCATTTCAATGATTTGAGTTAAAAGGTGCGATGCATCACTTTCAAATGCTGAGTTGGGAATTGGGACCCGTCTCTTGTATTTTTGCTGCTCTAACCTGATATTTTTCAATTTGAGATACCGGGCAGGCAATATGTTGGAACTTTTCAATTTCTTTAAGTTGTTTGCATCTTCTCTTTGCAGTCAATCATAGTTTCAGCTAGAATATGTAGAAAAATGAGAATTATCGTTGACAGGCGCTTACAATTTCATTCCTCTCTAGTCTCAGTAGATATTTTGCTCTACAGAGTCATAATCAAGTGGCGCCTTCCGATGTACTGAAAAATGTTACTTGTGTTTATCAAAAATTGAAAATTTTCCTTTTTAAGTTGTTTTTCCATTGTTGGTCGATTGTGGAACCTTGTGGTTGGGGGAATGGAGTGACATATATCCATGTTCCATCTTTTTCATCTGCTTTACTCTTTTGGCCTGCAATCACATATTCTTGTCCTCATCATAGTAAAACGGTAATGGTACGGACCTGAAAGCTCGGTACTTGCCGACGTTATTCAGGTGCTCGTTCTCCAATCTGAAAGTTTAAGAAATAGGAAGTCTTTGATGAGAATAGTTTAGATATGGATTAAGAAGATACAGGGGGCATCAGTTTCACTTGTTTAGAGGAAAACAAGTAAAATGGGCGATGAAGTCAGACCTGAAGAAGTTCCAAATGCCTCGGCGAATGATTTCCAGGCAGGCAACCAAAGCAATCATGGCTTTCCTGTGGAGAAATGGCGCTTGAATATCGAAAATTAATTGCATCCATACAAGTCTCAGCAAGATATTCACTACCTGCCATTATCACAAATGGTAGTAGAAATCACTTCAGAGTGACAAGGAGATTGAACAAAGAGCTGATTTAATCAATCCATGGAATTAGTTTTATCAGAGAGGTTTCTTGACAGTACCATGGCTATAAAATAGACTTTCTTGTTAGGTACTAAGAGCTTATCTCTCAGCCAGGGGTTCTTGGAGCTTCTTCTCAATAGACCCCAGTCCATAACTATGTCCCAGTAAGTGCTATATACTGTCGTAAATCCAGAGCTAGCTGCTGCCATAATTCTCCAAATGGCTCCTTTTCTGAGACTATAAATCGTCCTCATAACAACAGCAACAATGGTTGACATATATTTGAGGCCGTTATACAATTGGTGGTTATCTCCTTCCTCAAACCACCGCCGCAGGCACTGCAGTTGGCACCATTGGCACACATGAACAAAGAATTTACTGAATCATGAGCTGACACTTAAAATGCTCAATTTGGGATCAGAAGAAGTTACCTGAAGAACGCGAACCCAGAAGGGGATAACTGCGACGAGGATGTCAAAAATATCATAAACTCGACTGTATTGGCAAGTGTTTAATCTCTTTCTGAAGTCACCCCAACCATAGTAACATATATAGTATTCCAGACACATGAAAGCTTGAACCTGAATAGAACACCACAAAACTACTTAAACAACTTATAAGGAACTACACCTCCAGGTTTTGACTCTTTACCCCCAAAGTCCATACCTGGCTAGTTAACTCATCTGCCAAGAAGAAGTCTGGAAGGGTAACCTAGAAATGGTTTTGGCCCCCAGCCAAATAAGAAAAGTGAAGTCATACTGTTAAATGAAAAACTGACATGTACATATCAACAGCTTTGCAAATGGGTGTTTTTGTTATAGTAACTGACAATCAAATTACCTTATAAAGAGGAGCACATAGACAATGCCATGCACTTTGGAGGAGAAAGAATCGGCTAGACCGGTATATGATGTTGAAAGGACAAAATAATATAAGAACTACCACCTGCAAATGGTGAAAAACTTGTAGGCAATGTGAATGGCTTTAAGAAATTCCAGTTACAAAACAGCAAACTTGAACTGTATAGGGTGCCTCGAAACACTTGCTTGTAAACATACCATTACAAGGGCTAATGGGACCAATTCAGTCAATGTCTGATGCCTTTTTGTTCTAGGATCCATCTCCATGCCCAAGTTCGATAGAACAGCAGCCAATGTAAGTACCGTAAGGCCAGAAGCCACAAGGAGGACTTCCCTATATCCCATGGATCTTTTTCCTTCTTTAAACCCGAATATGAAGGGATAGTTGACTCGGAAATGCCTCCACAGGTATATGTTTCCCGAGTATAAGATCATGTGTAGGACTATGTAGCCAAACAAACTGCAACAAGAAAGCTTATACATAAAAAGTGATTTTCTAAGTAATGATCTGCAAAATTACATTGAAGAAGAGAAATGAATTGAATGTGTTTGTAGCCTGAAGATAACTATAAAGTGGAAATATTGTTTGCATGTATCGATCACGTTCTTGTGCATTCCGAAGTAGTTTTCTTGCATGGATCGAGACAAGGATGGCGACTACCAGTGCGATTGAGCATCCACATAACAGCCCTGTAGTTCAAATTTATTTATTTATGTTTTTAACATCAATTGTAAATTTGTAATAAGGTCTACTAAGTGTACAAAAACAATGCTGCAGTGAGGCATTGACTGAGTTTCAGTGGTTTACCTAAGAAAAATGTCACACTATGCTTCTCTTTTTTGGTTTCTGGCCTCAACAGTTTCATTCCTTCGTTTCGATTTCCATTTGAGAAATGCTTTACCACAGTAGCCTCCACTCTTTCTGCCATCTTAGTGATCTGAGGAGATTAAGAGAGCAAAAAATGACACCATTTTGCCAATCTTATGATCTTATCTACTCCTTTTGTCCCAAAATTATTGTCCAGTTTGGATTTCCATTTTTAATTCAATTTGTACTAAACCTGAAAATTCAAACTGGACAATAATTTTGGAACGGAGGGAGTACCATTTTATAAAGCACAAAACACAACACAAACCTCATCACAGTTGCCAAGAGATGAGTTCTCTACCATTTCCATATAAGCCTTAGTTGCCTTTCTAGATGTCACCTGAACCGCCAGAATCACCAGAAGTTTATAAAGTGGGAAGCCAAATAGTATAAGCCCTGAAGCTTGGATGTTAATGTACCTTATCATACTTCTTCATGATCTTAGAGAAAGCCAAGACATTCAAGGAACTGATCCGACATCAAGAAATATGAGCCCATTAGGTACAAGACGGGTGCAAAAAAAGATCATAAAATTTATTGCAAAAGTTGATGATTTGGGTTACCTGTAGCTTTTGAGGAACCGAAGCTTTTGGTGGAATTGAACAAAAGCCTGTTTCAGTGTCTCCTCTGCTTTCTTCAATTCGCTCTTACTGTAAGACAACTCAGATTTTGAGCTTCCGAATGCGTTTTTCAGGGTTGAGACCGGAGTTTCGGGTTCAACATTGATCTTAACATGACCCAAAACTTGTAATGGAGGAATTGTAATTCCATCCTTTTTAATTTTCTCAGGTCTCACTTCAACCATCAAAAGCCCTTCTCCACTGCTTGGTTCAACTTCTTGAATTGTATCCATTCGTGATTTTCCTTCAACATTTCATCATAAGAGTATTACATTAATCAGCAAATCACCATTAGAAGTTTACTTGTTACCGATACATAATCCCAAAATTTATTTACCTCTTCTAATCCCATCTGAAGATGATGCAGCTGATTGAACCTGAGATGGAATTGTTCCATGATTCCTGGAAGAATCCGTCTTGATGAACTCCATCAATGGATAATCAACTTTGATTCTGAGAGCAATGAGAGCATCCATCTGCTTACTCAATTCCTCTGCTTCAGCCTTCACTTCACTCACTTTTTCCCTGTAGAATTTGACCACTTTGTTGAACTCTTCATCCAATTTCCTGAAGAACACAAGCTCAAGCTCCCCTGTTTCATCCGAGGACATAAGAAACATGGTTTGGTAGAACCCATCTGATTCTCCGGCGGCGTCGGCCGATTGCTGAACTTCACTCACAAGTATCACTTCATCCTCCTTGTTGTTTGGAGAACCGCCGCCGCCGCCTTTCCAGCTGAGGCGTGTCAGCCCACTAAATGTTCTGTACAAAGACAGCCTTCTCTTCAACTGGTTTGATTTTTGAGACTCTGAACTCGACCCTGATGAAGAAATGTTGTTTATACGTCGAAAATTCAATACATCTTTTAACAAAGTTTTGAGGTAATTAAAATCCATGTAAGCTGCCTGCCATTCTTGTACCATCTGGGAAGCAAACTCCTTTCCGAACTTCATTCTGGATTAACAATCAATGGAAATCCACAAAATAGAATGTGAACATATTCAGATTGAACAGGGGTTTTAAAGTTGGGGTTTTACTTGTTCCAGTCAACTGCGACAAACCTAACTAGGCTCTATCTTCATGAACTCGAAAAAAAGGATTGAATGTATTTGCATCTGGAGAAAGTAATACCTGCATTGTAACGCGCGAGTTTTAATTAAAGTCATTATATATCATAGGAAAAAATGCATTCGTTATCGAATTTTTTGGTAGGGTAGGACTAGATCTTAGGCGTGCATCTTTGAATTCCAACAATTTTACCTACACTAGTATGAAACTTGATCCTGCATTGCGAGTTGCGACTTCTATGTCATATAGTACGTAATTAACCAGCATTGCTATGTACTGCCAATTATATTTTCTTAATGCTGCTTATAGTTTATATAAAAAGCAGTTTTTTGAAATTTTATTCAGACGCAAAATTACCTCATGGAAGCCCCCCGAATTCTCTCTCTCTCTTTGCTCCTATTTCATCTATCGTCTAATGCACTGTGGTCTTCGCATTTCGTATGGTTTTTGTTTGTTCAGGTGGCATTGCACATATATATGTCCTGGTGGCTGAATGGCAGGTTAATAGTTTTCACAAATTTTATACCTTTTCGCCATTTTTGTTGGCTGAACGATGAGCCAGCGAACCTTGTGACCTGTATGCAATGCCAACCTGAAGTAGGAAGAGGCAGTTCTGTTGGCACCAACATTGTATCAATGTATGTAGCTTTTTAGACTAAACAGAAAACTTTTTATATATTTGGGCAAAAAATAATTTTTGTCCTAGACATTTCAAAACGCACATTTTTTTCTTATCCCATTTCGCTAAAAAAAAAAAATGCGATTTTTCGATTATTTACGTCCCAAATCAATTTTGACCTCCAAAATGTAGGGGTTATTTTGTCGTCTAGCATAATTTTTAGTTTTATATTAATTAAGAAATAAAATAATAATTAATTATAAAATAATAATTAATTAATAATAAAATTAATAATAAAAATTTGTCAATTAGGCCTCTTTAGATTATTCTTTAAAAATTTAATTCAAAAATTCAAAATTAAAAAATTTAAAATTCTAAAATTGGGCTCCATTTACCTTATGGACATCACCGCGAACTGTGAAACCTTTTTTTTTTTAAATTTTTTTTTACCAAATTAGTATAGTAAATCCTAATCTTAATTATATTAAAATTTTTTTGTGGAGAAAATACGTAAAAAATTTTCAGCCACCTTGTTCTACGAGAAATATTCAGTGGTTCTTATTCACCATATCACATGCAGTTGGTATGGAATTCAAGTTTTAAGAACTACTGAATATTTCTCGTAGAATAGAGTGGCTGAAAAAAAATTTAGTATTTTCTCGACAAATTATTTTTATTGTAATATAATTAAGATTAGGATTTACCATAGTAATTTGATAAAAAATAATCTCCGGTTTGCAGTTGGGTCTACAAGATAAATTGAGCCCAATTGTTGAATTTTAAATTTTGGATTTTTTCAATTTATTATTATTAGTATTTTATTGTAATTTAGAAAAAAATAAAAAAATTAATTTATAGAGGCCCCACTGAATAAAAGTAGAAAAAAATATTTTTGATTTTTCTGAATTTAAAAATATTTTTTATCATTTTTATTATTAGTTAGTGATTATTTTATTCTTACTTAATAAATAATTAAAATTTAGGCTAAAAGACAAAAATACCCCTACTTTTTTAAGGTCAAAATTTATTTGGGACATAAATATTCGAAAAATCGTATTTTTTTAGACGAAATATAATGGAAATGTACAGTTTGAAATGTTCGGGACGAATCGTCCAAATATATAAGACGTTTTCTGTGGTTTAGTCTAGCTTTGTATAGGCTTGAAAATGGTTTTTGAATAAAATTTTGAATTCTAACAAGCAACTTGTGTTGGTAAATTTTTATCTTGAAGTTTACGAGGGAAACACAATGGTATTGAACAACAATGCAATGTAAATAGCAAATGGTTCCTCATTTCATGGTAAATGGTAAATGAGTAAATGGTTCCTCATAAGTAACTGACTATATTTCGATTGTAAGCGATATCCATCACTCGATGTTAGTTCGGGAACTAGGACCTTTTTGTTGTTTTTTTGGCTATTTGCTGCTTCAACCTGATATATTTCCGATTTCGAGATTCCTGGGTAGGCAATGTGTGTTGAAACTTGATCTTGATCTTCATTTTCTTGCTGTTATTTACCTCTTCTCATGTCTCTTAGTTTTTGGTAGAATATTATTATTGAAAGTTGAATAGCCTTGATGGTTGTTTGCAATTTCATTCTTCTCTTCTAGGTCTGTAAAGAATATCAATAAACGGCGTCTTTCTCTAAATGCTTTACAAAATTTACTTCATTACTTGTGTGTATAAACAACTGCCTTTTTGAGTTGTTATTTCCCTGTTCTTTGTTTGGACATTTAATGGTTTCTTGTGGTAAATAAAGAAAAGAAATAATCTAAATTCCAGGGGTTCCGCCCCTGAGGATACTTCTCAGGCTACAATTCCAACCCAACGGAACTTCCATTTCATTCATTCAGATGTTTTGTCCTGTTTTGGGTCTGCAGTCACATACTCTTGTCCTCATCATAGTAAAATGGCAATGGTACGGACTTGAAAGCCCGGTACTTTTCAACGTTATTCAGGTGCTCATTCTCCAATCTGAAAGTTAGCAAGTTGTTGATGAGCATAGTTTCATTTCATCAGCCAAAGAAAGGGTAATTTTAGAGGAAAAATGAGTTAAAATTAGGCAACTGAAATGGCTTGCTTGTTTCGGTTGACGAAGGCAGACCTGAAGAAGTTCCAAATGCCACGACGAAGGATTTCCAGGCAGGCAACTAAAGCAATCATGGCTCTCCTGTGGAGAAATGGCGCTTGAATATCGAAAATCAACTGCATCCATACAAGTCTCAGCAAGATATTCACTACCTGCCATCATCACAAATGCAGAGTAATGAGACAAAAAGACTGAACAAAAAGAGCTAATCTAATCATTTTTATCAAGCTTTTCTTTGGGATGAAATGAAATCATATACACTGTACTTGACAGGATTGCTTACCATGGCTACAAAGTAGACTTTTTTGTTTGATACTAAAAGTTTGTCTCTCAGCCAGGGGTTCTTGGAATTTCTCCTCAGCAGACCCCAATCCATAACTATGTCCCAGTAAGTGCTGAATACCGTGGTGAATCCTGAGGTTGCTGCAGCTATGATTCTCCAAGTGACTCCTTTTCTGAGACCAAAAATCGTCCTCGCAACCACAGCAACAATGGTTGACATGTATTTGACGCCGTTGAGCAGTTGGAAGTTATCGCCCTCCTCACCCCACCGTCTTAGGCACTGTTATAATTGCCATCCACACACATAAATTGAGCATCTTAAATCATGGCAAATGAGCTCGGTGAATCATGAGGGTGACAATGGTTGAGAAGGAAATGATTTAACGTTACCTGAACAACGCGAACCCAGAAGGGAATAACTGCGACGACAATATAGAAAATCTCGTAGATTCTACTTTTTTCACACTGGTTTGATCTCCTTTTGAAGTCACCCCAACCATAATAACAAACATAGAATTCCAGACACCTGAAAGCTTGAATCTGAAAAGAATAGGGCAAAATTATTCTATAAACAACTTGATTAAAACTAGTAACTCAGTTGGGAGGGTTGAGTAGAAGTACATAGAGAACTTGAAGTGTTAGCTCCACGTTCATACCTGGCTAGTTAGCTGATCCGCCAAGAAGAAGTCTGGAAGGGTAACCTAAAAATGGTTTTTGCCCCCCAACCAAAAAACAAAAGCGAAATCATACTGTTAAATGAATTGACATATACACAAAGTTTTGACAATGAGAGTTTTTGTTGTACAAATAGACAATCTGTTTACCTTATAAAGAGGAGCACATAGACAATGCCATGCACTTTGGAGGAGAAAGAATCGACTTGAACGGTAGATTATGTTGAAAGGACAAAACAATATAAGAAGAACCACCTGAAAGGGTCAAAGTAATTCTCATTTCTGATGGCTTTTGACAAATTCTTATTAAACAGCAAAACTTGAAGGTATGATGCCTGAAAGCATTTGCTTCCAAACTTACAGTTACAAGGGCTAATGGAACCAACTCGGTTAGTGTCTGGTAGCCTTTTGTTTTAGGATCCATCTCCATATCCAGGTTTGAAAGCACAGCAGCCAATGTAAGCATTGTAAGGCCAGAAGCCACAAGGAGAACTTCCCTGTAACCCATGGATCCTTTTCCTTCTTTAAACCCGAATATGAAGGGATAGTTAACCCGGAAATGCCTCCACAGGTATATGTTTCCGGAGTATAAGGTCAAGTGTAGGACTATGAAGCCAAACAAACTGCAACAATTATAGTACTTAAGTCAATATTAGAGTTGATTTTAAAGTAATGATCCACACGACGACTTAGAAGAGAAATGAAAATGTTTGTATGTAGTCTAAAGATACCTATAAAGTGGGAATATGGTTCTCATGTATTGATCACGGCCTTCTGCATTCCGAAGAAGCTTTCTTGCATGGATCGAAACAAGGACGGCCGCCACCAGTGCTATTGAGCAGCCACATAACAGCCCTGCAGGCCATTTTTTTTTTTAATCTTTTCATCCATTACTATGTGTTAAAAAAACAATGCCGCGGCCTGCATTAACTGAGTTTCAGTTCTTACCTAAGAAAAATGTCACTCTATGCTTCTCTCTTTTGGTTTCTGGCCTCAGAAGTTTCATTCCTTCGCTTCGATTTCCATTTGAGAAATGCTTTATTACGGTGGCCTCCACTCTTTCTGCCATCTTAGTGATCTGAGAACAACAGAGAAAAAAAATGAGAAACATGTTGCATAACATTTTCCTGTCAATCTTATTTTGATTAAGGTAGATTAAAAGGAGTTAAATGTGAAGCAATGCACACAAACCTCATCACAGTTGCCAAGATGAGAGTTCTCTACCATTTTCATATAAGCTTTAGATGCCTTCCTTGATGTCACCTAAATGAAGAGAAGCCCATATCTTTACAAAATTCTAAGTCTAATTTAAACTATGAAGCTTTTATACCAATACAATACAGTGCAAGATAAAAACTACCATACCTTATCATACTTCTTCATGATCTTAGAGAAAGCCAAGACATTCAAGAAACTGATCCCACAACAAGAAATATTAGCCCATTAGGTACAATACCGGTGAAAAAAAGATGGTAAAATTTGTTGCAAAAGTTGATGATTTGGGTTACCTGTAGCTTTTGAGGAAGCGAAGCTTTTGGTGGAATTGAACAAAAGCCTGTTTCAGTGTCTCCTCTGCTTTCTTCAATTCGCTCTTACTGTAAGACAACTCAGATTTTGAGCTTCCGAATGCGTTTTTCAGGGTTGAGACCGGAGTTTCAGGTTCAACATTGATCTTAACATGACCCAAAACTTGTAATGGAGGAATTGTAATTCCATCCCTTTTAATTTTCTCAGGTCTCACTTCAACCATCAAAAGCCCTTCTCCACTGCTTGGTTCAACTTCTTGAATTGTATCCATTCGTGATTTTCCTTCAACATTTCATCATAAGAGTATTACATTAATCAGCAAATCACCATTAGAAGTTTACTTGTTACCGATACATAATCCCAAAATTTATTTACCTCTTCTAATCCCATCTGAAGATGATGCAGCTGATTGAACCTGAGATGGAATTGTTCCATGATTCCTGGAAGAATCCGTCTTGATGAACTCCATCAATGGATAATCAACTTTGATTCTGAGAGCAATGAGAGCATCCATCTGCTTACTCAATTCCTCTGCTTCAGCCTTCACTTCACTCACTTTTTCCCTGTAGAATTTGACCACTTTGTTGAACTCTTCATCCAATTTCCTGAAGAACACAAGCTCAAGCTCCCCTGTTTCATCCGAGGACATAAGAAACATGGTTTGGTAGAACCCATCTGATTCTCCGGCGGCGTCGGCCGATTGCTGAACTTCACTCACAAGTATCACTTCATCCTCCTTGTTGTTTGGAGAACCGCCGCCGCCGCCTTTCCAGCTGAGGCGTGTCAGCCCACTAAATGTTCTGTACAAAGACAGCCTTCTCTTCAACTGGTTTGATTTCTGAGCATCTGAATTCGGCCCTGATGAAGAAATGTTGTTTACACGTCGAAAATTCAGCACATCTTTCAGCAATGTTTTGAGGTAACTGTAATCCATGTAAGCTTCCTGCCATTCCTGCACCATTTGGGAAGCAAACTCCTTCCCGAACTTCATTTTTATTACCAAACCCAACTCTATCAAATCCAAATCAGCGGAAGAAGTGATTGAACAGAGGATTTAATTCTTCTTGTTATAGTATGTAATAATGGTTGGCTTTGGTCTGACTTGTTACAGACTTTACAGTCAGTTGATATGGCTTCAACTTGGATTGAATTAAAATAAGGAGAAATGTTGACCATAAAATTTACTACTTGCATATAAATAATGCATGAGAATAAAAGATCATCATCACCAGGAATGCTACTCAAACTAAATGAAATAATAATGAACCCATTGTGACATGGTCGTTTTTTTTTTCCCTCCAAGGATATAGTCCACTGTACTCAATATTATACTCTATAAATGGTCGTTTTTTACCAATAAGAATGTACTATTCCAGACACTATTATTACAGGGAAGAAGTCATAAGACGGAAGCAATTAAATGGCAACTGGCTTTTCAACATCCAGTTTGGGTAGGTGCAAGGCGTGTCGTTTGAATTCAATGCAGCTAACCAACAATTTTTTTTGCATGTATTAAAATATTATGAAATTTGGTGCTGCGTTTCGTCCTCTGTTTCGTACGTAACTACCGTTTACTTTTTGGTAACAACCACCGATTATCTAAGTGTTTTTCGTAATATAACGCGATATAATGTAATTTTCATGATGCAGAAAGTTTTGATTTTTATTACTCGGGGCAAGTTGTGAAACCAAATATTTTCTAATTGGCAAGCTGCACATTTGACAAAGATGTATGTCATCTATGTTACCCAGATGAGAGTCGGGTGTGGTATTTTAATCTAAAATATCCAAGATTTCTAAAATATTGACAAGTCGGATACTTAGATCCCCACACCTGATACGACACCCGTATCCGAGTCCAGGTAACATAGTATGTCATAGCAAGGAGAAGGAAAAAAGGGAATACCTTCGTACCAAAAAAAAAAAGAAAAAAAAAAAGAAACAGAAACAAAGGGGTATACATCTGAACTTGATCTGGTGTGTTTTCACTTTTCACAGTTTTGCAAATATCAGCTTCACAGAGCAGGCAGTCTTTTATCTGCTGTTATTTCATACTTTTTGCTTGAATTTTTAAGAGAAAGTAGAATATAGCTCTTGATGGTTGCTTACAATTTCTTTTCTTTACCTATTACTACGCTACAAAGAATAACAAACAAAGGGATGCCCTTCTTTATGGTGTGCAAATTGTTTGTTTAGCTCTGTGTATAAACAATTACAGTGCAACTTTTTTGGTTGTTCTTCCGGTTAGGAGTAAAATAAATTATAGAAGCTCAACTGAAAGAATAGTCTTGATTTCATTTGGTGTCCTCTTGTCATATTCTGCGGTTACATACTCTTGTCTTCATCATAGTAAAATGGTAAAGGCACTGACTTGAAAGCCCTGTACTTCCCAACGTTATTTAGGTGCTCATTTTCCAACCTGAAAGTTAAGACAATAGCACGTCAAATGAGAGAGTAGTTTGAAAACATGGATTAAGGATTGAAGTAAAATCAGCCAAATGTAAGAGATTGCTTGTTTCATGTAGTAAAGTTATTAGACCTAAAGAAGTTCCAAATGCAACGGCGAAGGATTTCCAGGCAGGCGACTAACGCGATCATGGCTTTCCTGTGGAGAAATGGTGCCTGAAAATCAAGGATTAACTGCATCCATACTAGTCTCAGCAAGATATTGACCACCTGCCATCAATAGAAAAATGGTTGTGAAAATTTACTTCAATGTGCCAAACTGACTCAAAAAAAGAGCAAATGTAATCAAAATGTAAGCTAATTGTCAGAATGCAACTTACCATGGCAATAAAATAGACATTCTTGTTTGCTACTAGGAGCTTGTCTCTCAGCCAGGGGTTCTTGGAAGTTCTGTTCAATAGACCCCAATCCATAACTATATCCCAATATGTGCTATACACTGTGGTAACTCCCGAGCTAGCCGCGGCCATGATTCTCCAAGTGGCGCCTCTTCTGAAAGAGTAAATCGTCCTCAGAACAACAGCAACAATGGTTGATGCATATTTGAGGGCGTTGAAAAACTGATGGTAATCTCCTTCTTCAAACAAACGTCGTAGGCACTGTAATAAACATTCTTAACAAGCATGAGGCAATGCTTTTCCTTTTTTTTTTTTTTGTTTTTTGAGGCAATATTTGATGGTAGACATGAAATTGAATGAAGTTACCTGAAGAACGCGAGACCAGTAGGGAACAACTGCGATGATGACGTAAAAGATCTTGTAAATTTCACTGTCCTGGCAAGTATTTGATCTCTTTTTGAAGTCACCCCAACCATAATAACATGCATAGAATTCCAGACATCTGAAAGCTTGAACCTGACTAGTCAACTGATCTGCCAAGAAAAAGTCTGGCAGGGTAACCTACACAGCACCGCGAGGAAAAAGAAAAGTCAAATGATTATCTTAAACCAACAAGTGGTATTCAACAACTTCATGAATGTGAAATTTTCAGCTTGCAATAGGAGATGTTGTTATTTACCTTATAAAGAGGAGCACAGAGGCAATGCCAAGCACTTTGGATGAGGAAATATCGACTTTGGCGATATATGATGTTGAAAGGACAAAAGAGTATAAGAAGCACCACCTGCAAAATTATTCATCACTTTTAAATGGATTCAAGTATTGTTAAAAAGCAAATCTTCAAACTCTGGTTCCTGAAAACATTTGTCTGTAAACTTACAGTGACAAGGCCTAATGGAACCAATTCAGTGAGTGCCCGATAACTTTCTGATCTAGGATCCATCTCCATATCCAGGTTGGAAAGCACGGCAGCCAAGGTGAGCACTGTAAGGCCAGAAGCCACCAGGAGAAGTTCCCTGTATCCCATTGATCTTTTACCTTCTTTGTACCCAAATATGAAGGGATAGTTAACCCGGAAACGCCTCCACAGGTATATGTTCCCGGAGAGTAAGATCATGTGTAGGACTAGGAACCCAAACAAACTGCAACAATCATGATAATGCTTATTAGTAGTTGTTTTGCTAATAACAGTCAGCAAAATGACATTGAACAAGAGAAATGAAATGAGTAATCAGAAGAGCCTAATGATACCTATACAGTGGGAATATATTCTCCATGTATTGATTTCGTCCTTTTTCATTCTCAAGAAGATTTCTTGCATATATAGACACAATGATGGCCGCTACCAGCGCGATGGAGCAACCACATAATAGCCCTGCATCCAAAGTTGCAGAGGTCCAGAAAATGCATCAACAAAGTTGTATGATTCTGTAATCATATGATCAAATGCGCGAGAATTTCAACGTTAGATTACCTAAAAAGAACGTCACGCTATGCTTCTCCTTTTTGGTTTGTGGCCTCAAAACTTTCATGCCTTCACTTCGATTTCCATTTGAGAAATGTTTTATGATAGTAGACTCCACTCTTTCTGTCAGCTTAGTGATCTGAGGGGAAAAGTAAGAAAAGCAATAACATTTTTCATCATTTCTTGTCTGACTATCTTTTATGCAGATAGAAAAAATAGACATAAAAAAATATCATTACACACAAACCTCATCAGAGTTCCCAAGATATGAGTTCTCTACCATTTCCATAAAGGACTTGGAAGCATTCCTTGATGTAACCTGAGCAAACAGAACCGCCAAAAAGTTCACAAACTGGTAGACTGAATTTACTCCCTAATACTTGAACTCAAATATATGGTGAAAAACACAATACCTTATCATATTTCTTCATGATCTTAGAGAAAGCCAAGAGGTTCAAGAAACTGGACATTATAGAGGAACACAGTTAGTAATTAGAATACTCATGCCAAAAAAAAAAAAATGGTCATAAAACTGTAGCCAAAGTATTGCATTCCATACCTGTAGCTTTTGAGGAGTCGAAGCTTTTGGTGGAATTGAACAAAAGCCTGTTTTAATCTCCCCTCCGCTTTCTTCAATTCGTTCTTGCTGAATGACAAATCAGGCATCAAGCTGCCAAACACATTTTTCAAAGTCGAAATCGGAGTCTCGGGGTCAACATTGATCCTAACTTGATTCAAGACTTGTAATGGAGGACGCTTAGAAATTTCCTCCTCATCATCATTGCCTGTTTCAACCTCCTGAATTGCATCCATATGCGACATTACTGCAAAAATATCCCGATAGTATTGCATGAGCAAAAAAAAACCTGTTTTTAGTTTCCTGTAGAATTTTAATGTTGTCTTCACCTTCTCCTGTCTCATTTGAGGAAGGCGCTTCTGGTTGATCCTGGGATGGAACAATTTTCTTTCCATTAATACTGGAATTTGTTCTGAATTCCCCCATCATTGGGAATTCTACCTTAATTCTTAAAGCAATCAGAGCATCCATCTGCTTACTCAATTCCTCTGCTTCAGCCTTAACTTCACTCACTTTGTCCTTGTAAAATTTAAGCACTTTGTTGAACTCCTCATCCAATTTCCTGAAAAACACAAGCTCAACCTCCCCTGTATCCGCCATGGTCATGAGAAACGTGGTCTGGTAGAATCCATCGGAATCCGAGTTCGCCGGCGGCGGCACTTCAGTCACCACAATCACTTCATCCTCCATTTTTCTGGGAGAACTGCTTTTCCTCCGTGACACTGACAGCCCACTGAATGCTCTGTACAGAGTCAGCTTTCTCTTTAACTTCTTGGATGGTTTCCGGGATTGAGACATTGGGTTCGACCCAGAAACATCATTTCTACGTTGGAGATTCAGCACATTCTTTAACAGAGTTTTAAGCTGATTATAATCCATGTAAGCTGCCTGCCATTCGGGCACCATCTGGGAAGAAAACTCCTTCCCAAACTTCATCTTTTAGCTTCTTCTTCCTTGAAAAATGCTGATATGCCCGAATTTGGAAGGAATTGGTTTGATGTAAGATTGAGAAAGAGATTGAAGTACAATGGAAGATTAACCTAACTTTGTAGGGTGATGTTTATTTATATAGATGAGTTATTGCAGTCAACTGGTTTGCGATATGATTGGACTCTTTATCTTCGATGAATTTTTAGGAAAATGATGGACTCATTCAGAAAATGTATGTTGGGGAAAATGAATGATGTTGATTGAGCAAACAACCCGCGGTTTGTTATTTTTATTATTATTTGGATGGGAGTATTATAGAGATCTCCATCATTATGAATGCTAGCTAGCTGAATGTTGAGAGAAGCAAAAATATCCAACAATAAATGATTTTCAATATTGTTATTATTATTATTTTTTTCATGCAAGAAGAGGCAAATCACAGATGGCTAATTAAGGTTCCAAGAATGAACATAGTTGGTGGCCAAAAGTCGATTACATCATTTTGCAGTCACGGTGAAACAATTGATGGTAGGTTACTTTTCTTAGCCTTTTTGAAACTGGAATATGGTGTCCAGCATTGAACACATCTGTTGCTTAATCAGAGAATAAGATTGATCCTTTAGTTCCGCAAGATAAATCATTGCGAATTTGCGATAGTCATTCTAGTCTATTCCGAAGGATCTTCTCAATTCAAATCCAAATGATTCGAGGTAATAGTTTAAGACATCGGACATATGGTGTACTCCTTCTGTTTTGAGATTTTACTTTTAGTACAATTTTAAATTACAAATAAAAATTCTAATTGGATAATAATATCGGGACGGATTGAGGGAATCATATTTAAAAAGAAAAAGAAAAAGAAGAAAATGGGGATGAAGGCTCTCATACTATTCCACATACCTAACTTGCAAATGGTCTATATTTTCAACTTTGGGTAGAACAGGTCCAGGCGTGTCAATAAATTTCAATGCAGGAAGCCAACCCTTTTCAGCTCTTTGCCAATTGCCAGCACTTAATATGAGACAACAATTTGGTGTTGCATGTGGGTTTCCTGATTCCTTCCTCAAGCTCCTTTGATTTCGATCCATATTGCACTTTTTCTTGACTTTTTGCTAATGTTACTTGTACCAATTTTTTGGGTTGCCCTCCTAATCATTAGGCTCTAATTCCGCACGTCTGAGTTTATTTTGTCTACTCTAGCACACTGTTTAAGGCAAATATTTTCTGGATGGGAAAGTTGTGGGTTCTTTTTTATATTTATATTATACATTTGGTGTCTAAATCTGTTATAGTGACGACTCCGATATGTAAATTTTTCATGTAAACATTTTCGTAGCATATTCGAATATTGTTTACATTTGTAATATATTTTTTTATATATTTCTAATTAAAAGAAATACACACTTGAAAAACGATCTGAAGGGAGCCTAAAGTTTTTATCAAGCCTTCACGATTCAGCCTTTATATGTTGGATGTTTCCCACAAGTTCAACTTTGGGTATGGGCTATTTCCAGTTGAGGTCTCGCTGTCCAAATTTTGTTGGTTTACCTTCCATATACACTTACCATATCAAGTTATATCAACGTCTTATAAGACAGTTGGATTCTTTGAACTTTGAAGATCTTCATGATTCTGTTCCTCTAAAACTAATATCAAGAATTCAACATCTTCAAAATAATGCCATACATCATGATTTTATTCTTATATTGCCTTCTGTTGGGCTACAGCTTGTTCCTTGATTCGTTGAACCTAGGAGTTGAAGATTCTGATACTAGAAAAGAATACAGAATGGACATGAATTTTATATTCTGGGTCAAGGGTAGGGATAATTACAAATATTACTTCCTCTATTCCAAAATCAAAATCATGTTTGTCTAACCAAAAATAAAATAAAATATTTTTAGGATACCAAGAATATATGATATATCTCTTCTACGAACTCAGCTACAAGTTGTTTAATCACTCTATTGAGTAAATTACTGTCTTCATCAATTTGTTTAAACTGCCTTTTCATCAGATATATATTGCAGGCTTGCAGCTCTATACATTATCTTTTATATATGCATTTATTTTTTTATTAATATAATAACAAATGCGCAAAAGTTACACATTCACCGCACAGTATATATGCAAATTAAAAGAAAACACGATTAATCTAAAAGCTTTTAATTAAATGATGAGACCATACTGTCGAAATTGACGATGAGACCCTAGTTTCACCTACAATTTAATTATAAGAGTAAACTTTCCAAAAAGTTACTAAACTATAAAAAAATCTGCAGTTTAGTCATTATTAATTTCTTGGAAAATCACTGCACTTATGAACAATGCTTGAAATTAGTCATTCCGTTAGTTAACAATTTCTCAATCTTGTTTATCTTTCTAGTTATGATCTACTCTCTCCGTCCCATAATTATTGTCCAGTTTTACTAAAATGAAAGATTTTATTTTTAGTCAAACTTAACTATATTTTACCTTGAACAACCGGATATACCCCTACATAAGTAATTATTTAACCACAAAAATTTTATGGATAATGTTTTTTACTAAGGACAAATGTGTAACTTGATCCATAAAAAGTCAAATTAGACAATAATTTTGGGACAAAATTTTTTGGGCAAAGTGGACAATAATTATGGGACGGAGGGAGTATAACATTTTGCCCCTCAATTTTCGTTTGGTCCCATATTTTATTTTCTTGTCTTTTCTTTCCTTTTTACTTTTCTTTTCTTTTTTTGCAATAAATAATTTTTAGAAAATGTTATTTTATTCAAAAATTTAATTTGACATTTTTCTTTGGCTTTAGTATTCACTAATTATATTTTTTTTGTTTTCGTATTTTTCTTTAATGTCTAAGCTTATAAGAGTTTAGTTACATTTTTTTTTTTGCAAATTATGTTCTTTTAAAAAATGTAATATTTTCATTTTAAAAAACAAATATCAAATTTTTTTAAACAAATATCGCAAATATCAATTCAGCTTCACATTTTTTTGATTAGGTATGTGTACTAAAAAATGTCAATTCTGTTTTAAGTGTTGCACATCACAACTTCAAAGGCTTCTCAAGACAACAAAAAAACACGATTACACGAACATTGCTTACAATTTCTCAAGAAGGAATAATACATTGTAAAATTTATAGTACTAATTAAAGGAGTATATAAGTTGCTGATGCATCAATACTACAATGACTATTTTTCGTATAAAATTATTTTTGACATGTAGCATTCTAAATATTCAAAAAAAAAAGGATGAAATAAATAAAAAAAATTCCTTAATTATAGCTACATACTAATCCCTTAATTATAGCTATATACTAATCCCTTAAAAGTTAAAACAACAATATTGAGTCGATAAAATCAAATGTCAAATAATCCCCTTCAATCATTTATTTAGATTAACTCAAACGTCAATTTAATAATTTGATTAAGAAGGTAAGTATGCCTCCTTTTTAGTAATGGCAACGCACATTGATTCAAATCTCTAAAAATTAGATAGAGTTATCGTCATGAATTGGAAAACAATGTTATCAAATCATTCACATATCACCCAAGGCAATTCATGTAATCATTAATTGAAAATCAAACTCAACCCATTCATAGCCATGTTATCATCATAATAAAAAAATTAACAATCAAGAACTGGGGGAAGAAGTTACACTTGTAGAGGGAGCATCGGAAGAAAAAATCGAAACTACAGGCCCTTATGTTTTTCTGGTGGTTTGGAAATGAAACTTAATAAAATACTGGATTGTTCATATGCAGGAAAATAAAGAAAATTTTAACTAGCTTTTGATTCATACAAATGTAAATTTTGTACAGGCAATGCTTACTGCGTTAAAGACTTGATTTTTAGCCCATACAAGAATTTTCACTTCTTGGCAGTTCGTTAATAATTGATTTGGCCACTCAAATTACTCTGTCTTTGATCCTCTTCGGGCTTTATTACGCACTGACTAATGTAATTATCTCATTAATATTAATGAAAAAGTACAAAATCATTTGAAATTCACTAGAACATGATAACGTGTTAGTCGCAAAACAATCACGGGCTGAGACACTACAGTTTTTGCACAATAAGATATTTTTTTTCTAAGATACTAAACTTTTAATATTAACCCAGAATTGAATGTTGAAAATTCCTTGAGTTAATATCTTCATTCGATGGTTTTTTTTTTTCCAAATACATATTAACTTTTTAAGTTGTGCTTCTGCAACGGTTCGGATTAAGACACTAAAAATTAATACTCCCTCCATTCCAAAATAAGTGGCATTTTAGAGTTTGCACATAGTTTAAGAAAACATTAAATAAGGTAACTAAATTACTAGAATATCCTCAATCAACCCTATTAAAATAAATATTCACCAATAATATTATTTCTTTTGAGTGTATGTTTGGAAATTTTTGACAAAAAATGCATTAGAATCCAAAAACGAGACTTATTTTGGAATTTCTCCATTTTGCCAAAACGTTACTTATTTTAGAATGGAGTAAGTATATAATTATGTTAAAACATATCCTCAGGCAACGGCACTTTATTGTGCTCCTATTCGATATTGTTATATTATATAAAAAGATATTTATTCTTTTTCGGAAAAATTTGTTTTGTTTATTTACACAGACAATTACCGGGTGAATGCCCGAGGCAAGCATCTAATTTATATTTAATGTAATTAGTTAGAGAAGGAGAAAAGGGCTATCACTCGTTTCGCTTTCCAGGCATTTTTACGAAGTCAAATGACGTTCCGCATACAGAGAAAATTACAAAATTCAACCATACCTTTAATCGACGATTGAACTTCTCACTATTAAAAACAACAAGATTAGCCCAAATTACTGAAGATGTTCAACAATAAGTTCCCTCGATACTAGTCCACAATGAACCAAGTCAATTCGATACACATTACACAATAATATTAGATTTAAATTTCAACAAAATTTCAGCCTAATTTAATGAGATTCATTCAATGCATTTTTCGCACTTCCCTTGCCACCACCATTCCCTATAAATTCATCCCATGCTCCCGTTGACATGAATTAATCTGGAAGTAAATTAACTTCAGCAATATTTTAGTTTTATTGACGAGTTTGATTGGGTGACAACCATAGTTGTTGTTGGTTGCTATGGAATCGGAACGAAATTCAATCCTTTGCCGAAATTCATTTAAACTAACATTGTATGATAATGGATTGAGAACTCGTTTCCAGCAGGAAGCAGCAGTGCTACCAGATGGCCGAATCCTCAATGTCATAGTCACTCCAGGTATGTGGTTGAAGATTTTAACCTAGTATTAACGTTTGGAATTATATATGTTCGCCCGAATTCGAATATAATGTTGGGATGATCGTTGAATGTGTTCTACATGTTATATTTTTTTTTTTTCCAATTATTAGTACTCCTTCCAGTCCTTAATATAAGGCATTTTGACTTTGTTTTAGGTTTCACCTTGTACCCATTTTTAATTGATAAAAAATCTTAAAAACATTCCCTAACAATCACGATAATACAAGGAATGTGAAAATATAATTTTAAAATTTTTTTGTCAATTAAAAATGTGTACTAGGTGCAACCTAAGACAAATCAAAATGCCTTATATTAAGGACCGGAGGGGGTACTAATAATTGAAAAAACAAAAATATAGCCTGTAGAACACATTCAACGATTATCCCAACATTATTTTCGATCACCAACACATGAACCAAAATAAACTAGTCTATTAATTCGATCACCAACACATGGATCAAACGAATTAGGTTTGAGATAAAATCTCGTTTTTTCATTAATCAAAATTAACTAAACTTTACAATAACGGTTAATCCCTTTAAATATAAAAGAAAGACATAAAACTGAACCCTAATCAATTAAATTATAATTACTAAAATACCCATATAATGAAACCGTAATCTACATATTCATTTTATTCTAGCCGCCATCACACTGCCTTGGCAGAGCTCCACTTTTCAGTTATTCCCTTCAAATCATATGCTTTGTAACACCCTTACAGTCGCAAGCTCCCGGGAGGAATGGTTGTTTAGATGGAAAACTTAGGAAGAAAACCTGCTGAAGTAGCAACAACCGACGTCAAGAACCTCTCGCATGCGTAATCAGTCAATCTAAGTTCAAAACGTATAATAAGCGAGGAACTCAAATTGCAGGTTCTCGAATTTTGAGTTCGCGGTTGCCAAAAAGATGTGCGAACATTAGTTGCGTCTTATCACCCGGAAATAAATGCCATAAATGATAAACAATTGACACTCATTTTCCCTCTGTTCAGTGAAATGGACATTTTTGAGTACAGAAAGGGTGTTATAATGCGTACCGTAGCATCGTATAACCTGTATAATGTATATAGAAGATCATTCATGCGCCTACTTCTTCATTCAAACTGTTCCAATTCCAATGAATCGAGCACCACACGATCATAGTGATCATCAAACCATCCATTTCAATACCATTAGAGCTTCTTTGCTTTAACAAATGTATACTGATCCAGAATTCTCGCCGTGATCTATCTATTCAAAGTAATGCCGACAGAAATTTGCTAATTATGTCAAAACTTTTAGAGTTGATATTTCAGTACCTTTTTGTACATTACCTTGTGAATTGTATAGTACGTGTCATAATGACTTAATTTCTTTAAGTACTTATATAAATTAAGTCATTATATTAAGTGATTATCAAACCGAGCTTAAGTTGATAAGTGGGCTAGGAGCTCCTTGCAAAAAACTCTTATGAGCTATAGATATTATAAAAATTGCCCCCAACTATAAATTTCCACAAATTCATTTTATTGTCACAGAGATTTGAAGAGTTTCGGATCCTAACTAAATGGTGAAAATGGATGTAAGCTCAATCGTTGACCGACAATCGGAAAATAATTTCGATATAAATATCCGACCTAATGTAAAACTTTTCGAGTTACCGCCCGTCATTGTGAAAAACAAATGAGACTACTTTAGTTTGCCAACGATAATTAAATGATCATCAATCGATCATTCGCCCCTGTAGTCGCATTTCAGGTAATTAAGATGCCAAGACTTTGAGTTTTGACGTTTCAATAGAGAATTTCTTTTTTAAAACAAACTAATACTACATGCATTAGCATATATTGAATCGTTGATAGAGGCGTCCCCTCGATACTTGTCCAAAATAAAATGCACCTAACCCTATTAATTCCTATATCTTTTGTATAGATCTGGAACTGAAAGATCAGTTTATATACTAGGCGAATTCTCAATAGAATCGTCCAATGTTTTTTACTTTCTAATACACTGGATACAAGAAAAAGATATACTGAGTTTTAGGGGGAATGTTTGGAAGTCGTTCTTTTTTAGGTAATTGTCACGAACTTGATTGGTTGACAACCCTAGTTCTTGTTGGTTGCAATGGAACCGGAAAAAATGCCACCAGAAGCGCTTTTCTTTTCATTCATGTTTTAGATTCAACGTGTGATTTAAAATGTATTTTAAGTGAAAATTTAAGTTGATGTATGAATAAATTTGTACATAAAATAATGCGTATTTCTATATCGACCACCATATATCCATCACCGCCAGAAGCAAGGGAGCCAGTCATATTATTTGTGTATGCAACAAATTCGACTAATGAGAAGGAATGGAACGGGATATCTTGTGGTTGGACAAATTGAAATGCATTTAAGGAAAAAAGATTACCAATTTCTGCTGAAATCTGTCCTTCCAACTGGTTTTCATGGAAAATCTCCTTTAGAATTAAGGATGAAGATAAATGATAAATCTGATCGAAACAGAATCGAATGCAATCTTTAATTTACACTCCCCAAGTAATGCAAATATTATTTGAAATGTTTTATTTCCATTAATAAAAAAAAGAGGGGAGAAGAAGAAACTGATGCGCGTAACTCTTTTTAATTCGACGATACTATTTTTTATCAGTGTATTGCACGTGTCCGTCCCGGAGCTCCGGAGCTCCTCCAATTTAGGAGCTCCGGGTGCTTAGTGTTCATTGCCATTCTCATTGAACAAAATTGAAAGAAAAAAGAAACCATTTGATGCACACATACTATGAGTAAAAATCCCTACTTTTTTCTCTGTACATAGTAGAGACCCCGAAAGTAGAATGTCTGTTTCCACCATTAGTAAAAGAGTAAGACTTTCAAACTTGAAATACATGTTTGCGATAGTGAAGCGGACATTAAGCTAACTAAATTGTGGTCAAATCCCCATAAAAACAAAGACTGATTCCATGCAAATAATTTGACACCTTTGCAAATATGCAAAAAAAAAAAAAAAGAGAGAGAGAGAACGATTCCATGCAAATAATACTAATTTAAGTAATGTAACCAAAATATGATTCGATTTCTTCCCCTTCGATCGTCCCATTTTATTTTTCCTTACTTTTTCTTCATTCGGAGGACCACAATTCTAGAAACCCGAAAAAAAACAGTACATAATAAGATCTACAATCCCATAGAAGTCGCATCTCCGATTAGTGATTGAAAGCATCATATTAAGATCGATTGTATTGTAATCTTTGAGACTAGGCTGGAACAATTTTATTTACCTTTTTTTTTTTAGAAAATGATGATTAGGATGACAATGATGACGGCAATGTGGCTGCTAATTATAATCTCATGGGTGCCGGAAGTGAAATCAATCCGGTTCGAAGTGGCGTCAGGTGGGAAAAAGTGCATCCTGGAAGACATCAAGACCAACGCCATGACCATCGGCAGGTTCAGCGTCGTAAATCCTAACCCGGGTTCCCCCATGCCGGACCATCACAAAGTCACTGTCCGGGTGAGCCTCTTTGATTTTTCCCACCCTGCATTTTCCGTCACATTTTAATAATTTACTTTGTTCGTATATAGAGTGAGGGACTATATATATATTTTGGTATTGTGACGCTAGTATCACTAATATATATTTAGGGAAATGATAGGTGACATCCTCGAAAGGATCAACCTACCATACAACGAATCAGGTGGAATCGGGTACATTTGCATTCACGGCTTACGAAGGCGGCGATTACAAGGCTTGTTTTTGGGTGAACCATCGACGGCCCGCAATTGTACTCACCATTGAGCTTGATTGGAAATCTGGAGTTGCTGCCGGAGATGGGCAAGTTCATAAACTTGCCACCAAAGGTCAAGTTGAAGTATGTATCCTTTTTTTCCCCTCCTTTGAAGAGTGTTGTGGTTGTGTTCAATTTCATCAAGAATTATATTATGGGGAATATTCTTAGTTTCTGGTTTTCTCATTTTTTTAAATATTTTTTTGGGTTGCATTTTCAGGCCATGGAATCTGAATTGAACAATATGTATGACCTTGTCATCATGATTCATGACGAGATATTCAATTTACGTGAAAGGTAGGTTATATTTCCACCAAAAGACTTGAGGTTTTATAGTTGATCGTAGATGTCTCTTGAGCTTTTACTCTTATTATTATAGATTTCATCTTCTTCTGTTCTTAACTTTAAGTTCTTATACCTTTTTTTTTTTTTGGTTGGGATTGTTTAGGGAGGAAGAGATGCAAGCACTAAATAGATCTACAAATTCCAATATGGCTGTTTTTAGTTTTCTTTCCCTTTTGGTTTGCCTTTCCGTGGCTGGTCTACAACTATGGCATTTGAAGACATTTTTTGAGAGGAAGAAGTTGCTCTAAAGATCATTTCAACTCCATGATTCACCAAGAATTCATGTTATTGTTGGTGTTAAGGTTACATGTACATTGAGCAAAATAGTTTTTTGGTGTAGATTTTCAGAAATGCATACAATCGAGACATATCGAATGCATATGCCGAAACTTTTACATTATAAAACTCCACATTTGTGTTGTTATCTTGACAAGAATCTTGTGGTAAACTCATACAAACAGTTATTGCATTAAATCAAACTAGATATACGTAAGCTATAGCAATTGCATATCCCGACGTTAGCTTCACAAACTCAAAATCCATGATGTATTGCAACTCTCTTATATATACTCCACTAGAATATGGAAATTTATTGTATGGATCGGGTTCCATGGAAATTGGTGGTTCCATGAGTTATCTTCTTTCTTTTTTTTTTTTAAGTTTTTTGAAATATCAGGTCCTCCCTGTAAATTTTAAAATGAACCATAAAAAAAATTGCTCCATTTGGACAAGAGTTTTAAAAAGCCTTTTAAGGCTAAAAAGTCTGTTTAGAGCTTAAAATGTGTTTGGACAAAATAATTAAAGTATTTTCTAAACATCAATTTAAAAAAAAGAAGTTTTGAAATAGAATTTTTAAAAAATAAGTACGGGATATTTTTATATTTTTTGAAACAGTCTTTTTGCCTCCATTCGCTGGTCTAACTCCGAGTCAAAAGCGTGTTATAAAAAAATGAGTCATAAACATTATTAACAAGACCAAAATAATAAAAAATAAAAAAATGGTGCGTTAGGCGCGGCTCCTATTCCCCCACCCTTCCCATCTCTTCCTCACTCTGTTCTCGGTCCCACTTTTCTTTTTAATTTTTATTTACTTTCAATTTTCTCCTATTTTTTTAAATAATTATATCTTTTAATATATAAATAATTAGACAACGTGCTATATATCAAATTAATCTATGCGATGAGATCTATTAAGATTTATTGTTAATATTTTTGGAATTAAAAATTTCATTCAAATTTATATATCAAAATCAATATATATGTTGTTTAACTATTATGTATATGAAAAAGTGAATTATTTTTTTTTACCAAAAAAAAGGTAAATTTTTATTTCTTTTCTTATATTTTTATTCTTCACTAATTACATTTTGAATTTTTTTTGTAATTTTCATTATTTGTTTCTTTTTAATATATTTTTCTTTGAAAAATATCTTTCACAAATTATTTGTCTTTGAGTGTATAAAAATTTAATTTTTGTGTTTTAGTAAAATAATACTTTTGTATCACATTAGAAATAATACTTTTTTGTTTTTGAGTGTATGAATTTACTGCTAGCACGAATACAACTTTGTAATGATAGAAATTAGAAATTAATTAAAAAATTATCTGTTAGTATTTGTTTATCATAACTTATTATGTATTTAATAAGTTAGAATGGTATAAATATTATGCATTTAATTTAGTTAGAATGTTTTTAAATCTACATTCTAGTTTTGATTTATATTGGAAAGGTAAAGTGTGTTAAAGAAAATTTAGAACAAGATAATTGTGAATAATAAAAAAAATTTTAAAAAGAAAAGTGAAAAAATGAAAATAAAAATTGTAAAAGAATAATTTTATTTTTTTAAAAAAAGAAGTGAATTAATTATTTTTTTAACAAAAAGTACTTTTGAAAAAGACCCAATCCACATGGATTTTTCATATTTTTAAATTGTAAAAGGATTTTGAAAAATTCTTGTCCAAATGCATTATTTTCTAAAAAATTACTTTTTCAACTTTTGCTTCAAACAGACTTTTCTGAACAACTTTTCAAAACTCTAGTCCAAATGGAGCCTTCGAATTTTGAAATGATTTTCTCTCTTAATCTAAGAATAATTACGAAAGCTATTACAGATAATCATTTACTTAATATTTGATAATCATTTCGTTTATTTTGATGATTTTTCAGTTGATATCCCTTTTACCCTATTAAAGCACAAGACATGAAGTTTATGTGGCAACTACGTATGCATCTGTTTTGGCTCCAATGCACCTTATTTCAGATTTCAGAAGTCTTTCTGCCACGTGTAAGTCTCTTTTAATAAGATGCTATATAATTTTTTTTAAAAAAAAACACATGTTTTACTACAAATAGGATCAGTTACATTTCAAACGAATAGATATATTAATTCAAATTCAAATGTCCAATCGTATAGTTTTGCAGGCTTAATATAAACAAAAAATAAAAATACCTAAATCCAGCAATTAAGAATAATGCCTTATAAACTAATCCCTTTTACCTTATTAAAGCAGAATACATGATGTTGATGTGGCAACTTCTTATTAAAAATTTTTGGCGCCAAATGTACTATATTGCATTAACCATTCTGCCACGTGTCATCCTTTTTTAAAAGAAAAAAAAAATTCTTATCCGGAGAAACAAAAACTACTTTACAAAAAGAGCTACACAATTTTAACTCCTAACATTTATCATTTATCAATCAAATTAAAATAGCATTAAAATTTACCCATAAACTTATTCCCTTTATTACTCCACATTCTTTTGTATGATTTCTCCTTTGGTAGATGATTTTTTTATTTTTATTTTTATTTTTGGCTAAAAAGGGAAAAAAAAAACCAAATCTGTAGCTATTTTATTTTTTTCCAAATCAAGAATTCATTTATCTATTAACACAAAATTAAAGATGCCCGGCCAAAGATCTAGTTTGTAATTGTAGCCATTCAAACCCTCAACAAGTCCTAAATCTAACTCCCCCCAAATCCTCCTTCGCGGTAAAGCCAACGACAAATTCAACTATATCTATCCCAAATCTAACTAGCGAAATCCTCAAATGGGCAACTTTCAGTTTCAGCAACAGGTACCATCATATAAAAATTTAATGCATATATTTATACCATATAAATTGGATGGATATACAATAAAATTTGATGGATACATATATGTAGCGGAAAATTTGAATACGCTTTTTATATAGACTTTCATGATGAAACTTTTGTTTTTTCTAACACTTGTATGACTAAATTTCAAAATATTTTTTTTAATGAAGCTTGGTGTTTATGTATAATGAACTTTTTATTATTGGAGATTTACTTTCTTCTTACAACGAGATTTTCATTTGAAATCTTATGGATATTTAGCTAAAAACTAAAAGATCTTTTACTGATGGTTTTTCTAATGGAATTGTTTGTTTTAATGGTTATTGACTCTTTTTTTTTTAATGCTAGCAAAATCAAGATTTTTTATTATTTTTTTTAAAAAAAGTTTATTTCGTGATATAATACTACATGACTATGTTTTGTGTGTGGAAATGGGGGAAAAAATGGTACTTTGCAGTCATCATAAAAAAAAACACTAAAATCTTTTACCATAAATGGGATTGGGAAGACGTCACCTATGTTATGTAACAGAACATCCACTCACATAAATCATAATGCACCAACAAATGGGAATATTATGCATGTCCAAACACACGCGTCCCAAAATCTTTGGGAATTTATTTATCATAAGCAAACTTGATGCTGAATATTGCAGCATCTGATTGTCTGAAAGACTTTAAAAGCAACAAGAAAATGTGACACAAACATCTGCAGGCACATCCAGGAGTTCCTTATTTAGGCACTTCAAATAGTATGAACTCCCCGTACAATGACCAATGCGCAATTAGCTTACTCATCATCATAATCCCTGCGGTGGTGGTGACGATGCTTGCGACGATTCTTCTTTTCCTCATCATCGTCATCGTCATCATCATCATCAGACTTGTTGCCACCCTGCCAAATTTTGGAAAGACAGATCATTATTTAGCTATGGACACATATCAGCATGATACTCACACTCACAATCAATTGCATTAGTTTCTACAAAGTACTAGATTATGACACACTATGTATCCACTAATAAGGTCCCTCTTTCCTGTACACATGTTTCTACCTTTACCCCTGTTTGCCATCCCCTCAAACTTAAATGCTGGGTTCAAGTACATCACAAGGCGACCATCAAGTAAACACTAGCATAACTGGGACTCAATCTTTTGTGTGGTTTTCTATTCATATTATAACAAGAAGTCAACAACAATGACGACAACAGACCCAGTATATTCCCAACTTTGTTAAAGCCTTATGCAGGAGATATTTGCTGAGAGTTCACATGTGTCCGTCTTATTAGTTTTACAGAGGCTTGGACAAAACCAACTAAATTTCAGAACAACTTCAACAGCATTTGTGAGATAAAGCAGGTACTTATTAACCAAACAAAGAAAGCACTTTCCGGTTGCTGAGTTTCCAAGAATAAGAATCATTAGGTCAAGGAAGCACAACAACGAAAAAACCAATAAAACCTTAAATGTCAGAACTACTTCAGACTATCAATGAACTGTAACTTTTTCTCCCTAAACATGCTCAAGAGATATTGTTAGGCCAGGGGTAACTAAGACCAAGCCAAAAAGCCTAAACAAGAAGAAACATAGGTTCAGACAAAGGAACCCAACTAACACCATCTGATAAAGTTCCATCCTGATGGATTAAATAATTTAATAAAGTTCTTCCTATCCATTTCTAAGGTTAAGGAAGACAACTATCATGTTGAATATCCATTTCTACTTATTTTCAGTCATACAAGAGCAATTCCACCTTGCCCATAACAATCTTTCAGCCACATAAACTAATTCTGGAAAAGAAAAATCACTACCACTGGGAAGAAAAGAAAGAAATCTAAAGCAAAAGTTGAGAATGATGCAAAAGCTTACTGCAATCAAAGGAAATCAACGCACTAAATAAATCGGCTCTTAGATTTCTGTTGACAAATGGAGAGAAAAACAAAACCCATAAAAAGCTTACATATTTCTTCCGGCCATAGCCCTCGTCATCGTCATCACGCCTCTCATAGCTTGGCTTCCTGTAGTCTTCTTCCTCAGACCTTCCGTAGCTTGGTTTCTTGTAGTCCTCTTCCTCAGATCGCCCATAGCTAGGCCTCTCATAGCTTGATCCTCCATAGCCTTCGGTCTCCTGAGTCTCATAACTAGGCCTCTCAGACCTTCCACCATAGCCTTGTCTACCACCACCTTCTTCCTCTCCATAGCTTGTCTTCCTTCCGTAGCCGGATCCATACTCCTCGGATTCCGTCCTGCGCCCGTAACCGGATCCGTATTCAGAGGTTGGAGCCTCATACTCACTCTTTCTACCGTAACCGGACCCGTATTCGGAGCTGGGTTCGTTGTAATCAGTCTTTCGACCGTACCCGGATCCATATTCCGAGCTGGGTTCCTCGTACTCGCTCTTCCGACCATATCCCGATCCGGGATTCTCGTAATCGTTCTTCCTCCCGTACCCGGATCCATATTCAGAACTGGGCTTCTGATACCCAGATCCGTACTCAGAGCTAGGCCTCTCATGCTCCTGTCTCCGGCCATAACCGGATCCATACCCTTCCGATCCTTCCTCTGTCCGGCCATACTCGCTTTCTCCACCATATCCACCACCACCGCTTGGGCGATTCATTCCAGGCTGGAATCCATAATTGGGCTTAGGCTTCTCATACCCATAACTTCCCCCTTCCTGAGATGGAGCACCGTAACCCGATCCAGGGCGGGGCTTGGGACGGGCATAGCTCTTGTACTCATTGTCAAGAGCTTCCTCCCCATAGGCTGATGGCTCAGCGTAGGAAGAGTATTGAGGACGATCGTAATCGAAACCCCCTTCACCGGAGGAGGACTTAGGGTAGCAGGTCTCCTCAGACGGCGGAAGCGGGCGGCCGTAGGTCAAATCCTGCTTGTATCCGCCGTCGTAGGGGGTGGGATCGAATTCATCGAAGTCATCAACGTCGTCGTCTCCTCCGTATTGGTGGCCTTTCTCCCAGTAAGACATAGTTGTAGCTCTCTCTTTTCTCTCTGCGTTTTTCTTTTTCTCTGATCTGATTTTCCGTGAGTCTGAGCTGAAATGATATTCTTTTATATTTATAGTGATGATAGATACGTTGTCGTTTTATGCGGTGATACTTAACTTATTAAGGCGACATTGCCGACATCTCCACGTCGACAGTTTTTCTTCATTACAACGTGGGCCCATTAACGCTCTCTGACGTACACGGTTTTGACACGTGAACTGAATTCGGAGCAAATGGGGTTCAATCTATCTGGGTCGCTTTCAGTCTGTTTTTTTTTATTTAATTTTAATTATGTGCCCGTCCGATGGACAAAGAAGACATATACTATAAATATTACAACAGAACTGAAACAAAAAATATTAATATTTTATTTATAAAGTTTGTAGAATGTATAATGATTTCATTGGAAAAAATAAATCACAAACATCAACACTTTACCATATGAATATATACATTGATAATTTATTTAACGCAAAGAGGATGATTAAGAAATCCAAAAAAAAATATAAAAAAATAAAAAATAATGAATTTCGAATTGAAAGGTTAAATATCATGCAATACTGGTTTGTAGACTACATACATAGTTCTGGAATTGACATCAATAATATTTTAATCACATATCAGGATCTTTATTCCTTGTCTCAAAATAACTCTTATTCCTTGTCGCACACCCCCGACGCCACCACCACCGCACACCACCACCATCGGTGCATCTAGCAGATCTGGCCGCTGCAACTGCCGGTCACATCTTTGCCACCGCCGCACCACACCAACCATGTTGATGGGTGCAGATCTGGCCTCCAGATCTGAAGGTGCAATGGCGGCGGCCGCTAGCTCACTCCCCCGACGCCACCACCGTCAACTCACCCCTCCTGACGCCACTACCACCGCACACCACCACTATTGGCGCATCAAGTAGATTTGACAGTGCAACTGCCGGTCAGATCTATGCCGCCGCCGCACCACATCACCAATGTTGATGGGTGCAGATCTGGCCTCCAGATCTAAAGGTGACCGGCGGCAGCCGCTGCTGCTCCATGTCGACTTCGCTGTCCACGTACGCCTTGAACGCTACATACCACCACTACGCCTCTAGAGCTACTGTTGTCGATCGTTTGCTGTGGCGTAGCCTTATGAGAAGCTACCACCAGAATAATGGCTGCCACCGCCGCGGAGAAGCCCCGCACTGCCAAAAAGCCGATTCACCAGAATACTTCCTGGTCAATGAACTCGGTCCAACTCTCAGCCGATTCACCTGAATCGGTCTCAAATCGACAGATCGGTCAAACCTCGGTCCTTAAATCCAGGCCAGCCGGTCATATCGGCTCGCCGATCTTGATTACAAACAACCCAATTGGTCTAAACGATTATTTTACATGTTTGGTTCCATTCAGATTCAGATTATTATATTTAATTGACTATTTTTGGAATTAAATTTCGATGTATATCACTCACAGATTTGGATTCTTCACATGCCCACTAAACGCGGCAGTTCAGATCTGTGATCCGAAAGAAGCGAATCACGATGATAGGAGTTTATTCTTTGGGTTATTAGATAAATATTTCTGATGAGTCTGGAACCGATATTAGATGTAATTTAGTTTAGGTTCAATTAGGTCTCTTCTGAAAGTATCAGTATATTTATTGATATTTAAATACTATCTTTATGACGTCTCTTACAGGGTAAGTCTTAAGCACTGCCCTGAGAATTTTTTTGGTATCTATAAAAATTCCAGGTCCATACCTGGTAAAAAAAAAAAAAACTCTTATTTTCAGTACAGTTCTTCTGCTCTTTTCTTTTTCACATATGATGCATTCTCACCTTATTTCATAATTTATTTTTCAACCCGTTTGTTCGTTTGATTTAATTGTTTCTCATTATCTATCTAATAATTTATTTTTACTTTAAGTTACTCATTGTCAGAAATATTTTATTTTTGAGGATAGGAATGTCTTTTTACTCGTTAAAGTCAACTATTTTTGTTCCATTAATATCTTTTTGGACATTTCTCTAGTGTCTAGCTATCCTGCTCATTTTTTCCATATTAAAGTTTGAATTTTTTTAATAAAAATACTTTCAAAATTTGGTCCTATAGTTGTTTTAGCAATATCTTCATCAAGATGACCTCCTAGCCACACTAAGAGGTAAATGGTTCCTTGACAAATGCTCTTTTCCCTATCTAAGGGTTAAATAGCATTTGCGCTCAATCTGATATTAAGTGTGAAATAGATAGGAAATTAGATTAGCTTAGCTAATTATAAGTTTCCTTCTAGAGGAAAAAAGAAGTGTCATAGGGTTCATGTTAAACCTTTGAGAGACACTTTCTTAGTTTTTTTTTTTTTTATGCTTTCAAAAAATGAGTTGCTATGGAATTTTTGATAAATCTTTGTAAGGTATCGTCTTAGTTACTAAAACATAGAGCTGTCATGAGATTTTAGTAAATCTTTGTACAACAGACTCTCTTTCTTTGGGTAAGTCATAGGCACTGCCTGTGTAATTTTTCTTTTATTATCAATAAAATCGAAGCATGCCCGCCAAGCACCGTCCTGGTTCACCTAAAAAAAAAGCAATTATTTTATTTTGTTTAATATTGCAATCATTATTTAATTACTTTTGTCTTAATCATATATCAATTTTCTCACATTTAGTTTAACTTATAAAAGAGATGGTTGTTTAGTATCCAAGCCAACCTGCTGATTAGCATAAGGGTTTCAAACTCATCTTATAAAAATTAAATGAGTCCAACTATATTTTGCACATTTTATTGAAATGATAATATCTTTAATTTGAAAAAAGAATTTTGTCCATTGAACTTTTTTATAAGAACATAAATTTTATATATTACGGAAGGTTTGTATATAGACAATTAGAAACTTTAGATAAATATTGAGGGTGGCCCAACGTTCCACTCCTATAAATGAGAATTTTAAATTTCTACTCTCGATGAAGTAAAATCTAATATTGCACTTGTTCAGTATTTTATTTCTCAAATTATTTATTGCTACTGCTATATACAACTTTTTTAAAAAAAGTTTTACACACAATTAGTTAGAAAGTAAATTCTATAAAAAATTATAATTAAAATGATTTTTTTTAAAAAAAGTAACTTTTTCAAGGCCCACCATGGAGAAGTTGTATATTTATGGAGCTCCATCCTTATTTGATTCTCTAGGTAAATGAAGAAGTTTCAATTCTATTGTGATATTCTCGGATTCTACCCTCTTATCCTGAGTGAGCATTCGGTTATTTCCCTCATGTCTTCACCAGATTCACTACAATTTTGTCAACTTCATGGATTACTTTTCCTTCCCCCAAATTTCATACCGTCAAATACCCTTCATACAACCTCATAACTCCGTATCATTGGTTGATGTGTCGTCTATATTTATAGTTCCTTTACATGTGATTAAATATATTACCTTATTCAGGAATTACCTGCAATTAAATCACATGTGATTCAATTAAAAGAAATACATTGTGATATAAGCGATTGAAATTTGAAGTAGAAACTATTTTTAATCATGTTTGAAGAATCAAAATGTGTATATTCTATACATAAGCATTAAATTAAGTGACTTTTCAAAATTTCAGTGCCGAATTTCAAAATATCAACTGTTCATCTCTCAAAACGACCAATAGGCACACGAGAAAATTTCTTTCATACACCCAATTCACAAAATGGATCTTTTCGCAACTTTTAATCGTGTATAATTCAAATAGTTGTACAACCCTATCATCTTTTAACACTATCGCATGATTTTCACGAACAATAGATTACAACTTGTTATATTGAAATTTTTATTTAGAAAAAGATCATACTTTATTATCCCTAAGATATACTTACAAACTTGTTTTTGGGAATGGTTTTTCTGATTGTAAAGGTGTCATGCAACTCCATTATCTTGTGGCCAAGAATCTTTAATCATGAATCAAATAAGAAATTTAAACATCACGACTTTAAATTAAGATAATAAAACTATTATACAAACATGCAAAGTATTCAAGTGATGGAAAATATAATCAGACCTTGAAACATGTACATGGACTCAGTAAGAATTCTTGGCAGCTTAAAGTAAAAAAAACTCTCCGTTTCTCTACTTGCAACCCTGTACCTTAAATTACTTTACTTTTTTCAAAAACAATAATAAAAATACAAGAAATTGCTCCACATAAATAATAATGTTACCTAGTTCCTGTCGGCGAAGATCCAAGAAGATGAATGAGATGAGAAAAATTTATGACAAGCGTTCAACTATCTATGAGAGATCTTAGTGATTGAAGAGATTTTATAGAATCAGAATTTTAACCAAATTCCAATTGTGATGTTCTGTTAATAGAATGATTTGTTTGTTCCTAAAATATGACTGTCAAATTTTGTTCACAGTTTAAATTCAAACTTTTCACCATTTATTCTAATTATTTTAATTGCTCGTGTACATTCATATTTGTTATTATCTCTCCCTATATTATCTCTAGTTGTCAATTCTGCCAAGTAGTAGGACAGATAATTAGTAAATTAAAGAGAATTCACACACTTTGAATAACAATCATTGGCAAGTTTGTTTTTGATACCAGATAATTTGAAGATTCTGGTCAGCTAGGTGTTTTTTTTTATTATCTATTTTTAGTACATATTTTGATGCGCTTTGTGGGTTTTCAAACAAAAAGAAAATCGTAATTTTTTTTATTTGATGGTTGGATTATGGACGTTTCGGTCGTTTTATGAAGTGTAGTTTTGATTTTTTCTTTTTTCAAATGGAACTATTTTTCTAGAGCAGAATTGAATTTCTAAATTAAACTATGTTTTATTTTTGTGTGACGGGAGGGACTATATTTTTAGTTATTTTTCCTTTTATTTATTTATTTAATTAAATGATTTTTTCTTTTTTAATTTATTATAATCAATTTGCCTAAACTCTGAAGTATGCAAAGATTTATGATTGAAAATGTATTGCGTTACTATCTTTCTCCCCTTAATAATATCTATTTAACCTGTATCATGGATTCTCAAATTTTTTATATGGATATGATACCAATTCTCAAACTTTTTAATATGAATAAGTTGCATTTTTAACTAACTGTATAATTATTTTACATTTTTCATTCAATCATTCATTTCTTCTTAATTATAGCCATTTTAAGATTTTCTTATTTTCAAATGTACTAAACACCAAGTGCCTAGAATAATTTTCTGCAATGATGAGAATTTTCTTCCTCATCATAAAATATTTTTGCAACTTTCACTTCTCAAAAGAAAAAAAAAAAGAAGAAGAAAAGAAGCGGGATAGAGTTCCACTACAAGATAAAACTAATTAAAAATAAAATTAAAAGTTGGCTCCATGTGCACCTATATAATACTAATCTACTAACATCTAAAAGTTCAACAAA